ATTTCATTGAATAAATTGCATTACAAATATGAGAGACTATAGTTTATTTACAAGATTCATTTGTAGAGATCATGATCTTATGTTTTTATAGAAAAAGTTTAATTAATGTGAAACTTATATTTTAAAAATGTGCTATTTATTTCAAAATTTTATTGATTTTGAATTCTTTTAATTTTTTTTATCATGTATTCTCTTTGCATGCTTGTTTCTTGGTGTGGACTTTTTTTGAGGAAAATCTTTATTAAATCTTAGATAAATATATAAAATATAAAATTAAATTAGTATAAATTATTTTTATAAAAAATTAAATAATAAGAGGGGCAGGGCGGTTATCCTACATATGTAGGCCGGGTAAGGGTCAGAAAATATCTGACTCATAAGGTACGGGTCGAGTCAGTTAAATGATGGATGGGGCAAGTACTCGACTGGCGCCCACCTATCAACCTTTTGAGCTTCTCAAAAGGGCCTACAAAACAGTAGAGAAAACAAAATAGTCATTAAATCTCCTGACTTATCTCACATTTGCGCCCATTAGATTTTCTTAGGATTTTCTATATACACATACAATTTTCAAATCGCTTCAACATTGATTCAAATGAACAAAATTGGTATGCACTGTTGGTAAATCAAAACATGTTCCAAAAGTCAGACATGTTAATGCAACCATATGCCAAAAACCCGAATTGGAGAATTCCACGATTGGACAGAAAATAGGAGCGAAAATAACATGTCACTTGGCTCATTGTCTAGTCCAAGAAAGGAAATTTAGCATCAATTATATATATTTCACGTTCCTTTTCCTCGTGTAGTAAGGATATATGCATAATTTAATCATATCTAATTTGCATAAACAGCCATATAAGGTTACATATCCAACATTACAATCCTTATCTGTGCAGAAACTTTAGAAATCTCTGTCCACAAAAGAACAATAATGACCAATAAATGAAGCATCCAATGTTGGTCGAATTTCAGTAAAACCATATTTGTTTTTTTCTTGAATTTGGCTATTGTTTCCTTATAAGATGTCCGTTACGGTAATGTTTAGCCCCAGTCACAAGATAGGTGGTCATGCTGGTAAATTTGCAATGTACGATAACAACAAAAGGTCATCACGAGGATTGTAACACTTGTCAAATTATTCTAAAACCAACAAACTTTTCTTTAATTTGTGATTAGAAGAGAGGGGGAGTTCTACAGTACTTTTCAAGTATCATATCGTTATGTATTAATTCACCGTTGGACGTATAAAAAGAGATATGAGCACTTAGATGATTTTAGGAGTTTAAATTATTGAATGATGTGATAAGACTTTATTGAATGAGAATCATGGGTATGATATTCAAAAGAGATTGTAGAATTTTGCATCCCATAAATAAACTTCCACAATTTTATGTTATCAATTTTACCTTTTGAAAAAAATAACTTGGTTACTCATTTGGAATGAGCCAAGGCGAAAATATAACATCTGTTGTAGTGCTCTGGTTTTTATGGATCATTAACACAAACATGTTATTCATTTTTTTTCCCAACAAACGACACAAACATGTTATTCAATGTTGAGATTCACGGTAAAGAATACATCAAATTTGGAGTTATATATCCATAAAAGAATAGGAAAAAAGAAGAACGGTCACAAAATTGTATTTTATATTACAAGAGACATCTTGTGACATCAGATACTCGTCTCCACATTATAGCCAAAGACAAAGTGATCCCACCAAAATCTTCATACCCATATATAAATTTATAGTTTTACTCCTATACTTAAATGAAATTGTCCCTACTACCCTATCGCAAAGTTTAAGTATTAGAGAATTGCCTCGCCAAAATCTCCATGTATGCATATAAAATTGTAGGTATGCCCCCACACTTAAATGCGATTACCCTTACTACCCTTCAACAAAATCTAAAGTAGTACTGTACAGTTTGTTTATATGTCTCAATATCTAAATAATTTAACAACACTTAAAATAAAGAATGATACTGAATTTTCATTTATTCTTCTAATTTATCTATTCTAATGTGCTCCCAGAACACAAACTTATTGGAAAAGCTTTTATTTTTATAACTTTTTTTACTACATACTAAAACTCACAAACATTGCTCATTTTTTATTTCATCCTAACAAAAGTCTAGAGAAAATTTATTAGGGTCGTGAGAGGAGAAGTGGAGGAATCCTTTATTAGGAATTTAAGATTTGAGAGATATTTATTTTGTTGCTAAATTGTAAATTAATTATATACATAACTTGCGGCGTACATATTATTAGTTAAACATACTTTTTTTCATATTGTAATTAGTAAAATTTCATATATTAACTTTGCCCCCACTGAATTTCTTTTCTAGCTCCGCATCTGAGTGTAGCATATTAGATTCACATCAGAAAAACACTATCGATGAAGAACCATTTGTGGTTAAATCTTAACTAAGCAACAACTGCAGTTATGGTGCATACCAATGGTGCTGCCTTTTCTTACTCGTAGGTCCTTTTCATCGTCTAATAATAGTTTTGGCAAAAGTACAAATTGGTAGATACATTTGCCTACAAGTCGCTTATTGCAGATAATGCAAGCTGGTGTTATTATTTTTTCTTTTTGGCTACTATTCCTATTGCAATAACTAATTTGCATGCCGACAAACCTTCTGGTTTATTTAGACTTTTTATTTGACAGACAAATTATTGACTAAAGTTTGATGTTTATAACTAGTACTAAGTAAATAAAATCTAAAAAAAAAAATTAAAAGTATTCCATAAGCTCAAATGGAGTGAGATTTTCTTTTTCTCTTTTTTATGTAGTTATGATAAAGTATTTTGACGCTACTCTGATAGAAACATTTATCAAGAGAAAATAGTAGTCAAGATACTATCAACAGGTTTTGATAACGAAATAAACCTAACTGAGACAAAACATGTTCTTGGACGATAGATCTAAAGATAGTGACTAATGTTCGCATTAATGAGACTTAAAATTCATGTCTAAATAAATATATTAAACAAAAAAACTATCTTAAGCAAATCAAAAACATTTCTATTATTATGGCGAGTATGCGGAAAGACACATTATATACATTAGGGTATGATATTAAAAGTTACAATTGAAAGAATATGTGCACCAATAGTATATGAAACGCGACAATTTCTTAAGAGCTAAAAGTAACTGTTTTGTAGGGTTAAAAGTCAATGACATGTGAGAAATAAGTGTTGATATGGGCAATATACGTATTTCCTAATAGTGAAATGCTGATTTGATAACAAGCAATTGGTATTCTGCAATATCGAATTCGGGGCTATAGTAAGACCTTTCAAATGTTACTTTCTGGAAAAAAAATATCTTGCTCATATGAATAAACAAATACCGGGGGAAGGATGGGTTAAATGGTATGGGGGAGGGAGTGTAAGCGTAAAGTCTCGGATTCGAATTCTCTTACTTACACTAACACACACACATATATATATATATATATATATATATATATATATATATATATATATATATATATATATATAAAGAATAAACAAATATCAAAATTCTATATGACAATGTAGCAACACATTGGAAACACTTTTTAAAATAGTTATAGGTTTTTCTTTTTAATATACAATGCCTTAGAAACATGTGTAATAATTTGAAATTGAGAATTATAAAATGTGAATTTCTGTAATACAAAATTATTCTTACCTAGAAATTTCACACCATATCTTACTAATAAGTGTGAAAAGTATTTATGCATTAAAAAGCATAATATATTTTTGACCATTTATTTTTACGGGCACAACATAATAGATATTCACCTGTTGATCATATAATATAACAGAAATTGGCTTTTAACATAAAAAACCTCTTGTTAGTATTACGCGACAAATTAGACATGCATCCCATCTACTTCCAAATATCAATTTGTCAAATTTAACAAATCAGACAAGTATAACTACACATTAACAAAATATATAAATTTGGCATATCGTAGTTCTTTCCTAAAAATTTCCCGCCAATATATTATATTGTAGCATGATTCAGCTTTCTTAAAAATTTCCCGCCAATATTTAATAGCAAGCATACATGTTATGAACGAGTGCGTTAAGATTTTAGATATGGTGGACTAAGAACCAATAAAAATTTTCAAACTTCTTGGTCTCTATTATTTAAAAGCTTAATTGTTCATCTAATATGTTTTGATAATTGTTCAGTTTACTTATAATATAACTAAAAACAACTTAATCTTTAGGCACACAGTTACATGAAAAATTAAATATACATCTTATGTATTTTTTATATATCAATTTATCATATCCGACAAATGATCAAACACGTGTATAACAATACAATAATGAACGAGATTTAAAATTTTAACTACATCATAGAAAGATTATGCTTTCCTAAAAGTTTGGTGCCAATATTTATTAGAAAGTATATACACACGGACAAGTTCGTTAAAATTTTGAATATGGTGACCCAAGAATTTAACTCTAATAAAATTTTCTTGGATCGATCCGAGTTGTTAGCAAAATACGACAAGAGTTTGTTACGATTTATAGTGATCGCATTCCTCATACATAAAAAAATTTCTCAAACTACTTAACCTCTTTTAGTTAACAACTTTAATTGATCATTTACTATATTTTTAATTTTTGCATTTACTGAACATCTTTTTACACTACACTTACAATCCAAACAAGAGGAAAATGATATTAATACAAGATGTAACGAAAAGTTGCTTTTCCTAATTTCCTTATTTGGAAAACGTAAAAATATAGTAGAATTCAGAAAATTTAAAAAATTAGGAGAAGAGTTTTGGGATTCAATTTATATACTATGTATGTATATAGTGCGCATCTTATGAGATATTAGACCCGTGCCAAACGAACCATTCCCCACCCCAAATGCCAACCTAGCTTGGTTTGCCTTATCACTCTTTACCTTTCCTTTGCTATATATATAGTCAATAGTCACCAGCGCACGCTCACACCATTCATACATTCAAATCACCATCCTTCATTTCCCCATCCCTTGTCTCAAACACCAGCCTTAGATTGAAAAAAGAAAAGGGAATCCACGGGAAAGTGTGTAAACGAGTCCAAGGGGAAAGCAGAGACACCAAAAATGGTGGTGAACCATGCTCAAACCCCGCTTGGTGTACGTACGAGGTCCATGACTCTGGAACTCAAGCGTTTACAGAAGTTACCTGCTTCACCATCAGCTACATCTGCAGCCATTGGAGATGGTGGATCCTATCTGCAACTGAGGAGCCGTAGGGTGGAAAGGCTCTCACCATTTGCTGCTAAAGCAAAAACCCGAAAGATTCTCAAGGGTTCGACTTCAAAGAGCCAGGGAACCGGGCCAGCCAGTGAGAATCAAGAAAGTGAGAAAGACAAGGGGAAGGGTCCAATGCTGGAGGAGAATGAAAATGAGGAGAAAAACAATAACCCTGATGATTTGAAGGTGATGGAGTCCTCCTGGGGAGAGAATAACTTGGAGGCTGAAAGTGCTGAAAGGTGGGTTTATTTCTGTTTTGTTGACTTTTGATGACTTTATATATATATATATATAAGGTTTTCATTGTTTTGCATATTGAAATTTTTATTTTTTTTTAAAAAATGGAATTTATGTTTTTGGTGCTAATGTTGAATTTTAAGAAGTTGACACTGAAATTTATTTGTTTCAACAAAAAAATGTGTTGCAAGTTTTAAATTTCAATCTTTTACAAGAAATAGTTTGGCTAGTTGAATTTTGTTCTATTCTGTCACTAAAATGTGATTGAAAATGATAAAGTCAGAAGTGTTTTTTTTTTTAAAGGAGGAATAGTTTTGGATTTTGATAGAATAAATTTTTTCTGCAAAAATCTCTTTGTTTTTATTAAAAATGCATTACTTTTGGGTGTTTCTTATTTGGGTCCTTGATTGTGTGCATTGGTATACATGTGGAAACCCTGATTTGGTTTAGACCCTTCTATTGTTGCTTGAAGAATGAGGTATATTTTCAAAAATTGAATGTTTTCACCATTCAATATGGTTTTAAGGATTTTTGTAACTTTTTTAGCATTTTGATGTCACTCTTTGCACTTTATAAGATTCTTGAAATATTAGCAAAGAAATTAAAAAAAAACTCTAGAGTTTTGTTGGAGTGTCACAGCCACATGGTTGTTCGAATTTGTACACCTCAAAGTGTATTTTTTTTTTCTTGTGCTATCCTTAGGAAGTCTTTTCCACAAATTTTTGTTACAAACATTTGTCATGCCTTCCAAGAATGGTCTCCTATATATGATTTTAGCAAAGATTTTTAGCTTTTCAATTTCATTCATTCGAGAATATCAAGATTCATTATTTTTTTTAAAAAAAATCATTCTTTTTTCAATTATTTTTCTCATTGAGTCCCTTGAATCCTATGAATCAAACTTGATGGACCTAATCCAGTTGATTCGATTTTATCTCAATTACAATGATTCAAGCCGTGAACTCGTTTTAATCATTAATTGCACGTTCATCATCTAGGTTGGATTCGTTTTCTGACTTGTTTAAAAAAAATCATCCTTTTTTCAATTATTTTTCTCATTGAGTCCCTTGAATCCTATGAATCAAACTTGATGGACCTAATCGAGTTGATTCAATTTTATCTCAATTACAATGATTCAAGCCGTGAACTCGTTCTAATCGTTAATTGCACGTTCATCATCTAGGTTGGGTTCATTTTCTGACTTGTTTGGTTGATTGTTAACCAATTCAAATATTTGCTACTTTACTTATTTGGGAAAATTCGAGTTATTCAAAATGTGCTTCTTAACTTGAGGATCCAAGTCTTAATAGTTTCCTAACTAGACACATCATTTACAAGACAAAATTTCTTTCCTTCAACGGGGCAGCAATTGTACTTATCTTGCAATTTTTGCCAATATCTATTGTTTGTTTGCTAATAGCATGTTTATACATTGTGCTATTTGTGCCTATACATTGGTGTTTGACCAAATTGCCAAATAATAGTACTAACAGCTGTTCCATCCCACGTTACTCTATGCTTATAAGATTTGAAATTCTAATCCTCCTTTTATGGCAATTTTTACTTATATCTAAGCATTTCTTATTTTAATTTATGGACCTAACGGAGTTCGGATTCCTTCAATTTTCTTTTTAGGGCCACAAGGGAGACCACACCAGTCCATTTGATTAGGGATCCAAACGCTCTGGTTCTTCCCCCCTTTTCAAGCACCAGGCGTCGCTACATCCGCACCACAAGGGCCAATCCAAGGCAGTTCATTAACCCGGTAGAAGATTACCTGAACGCACTTTTTGGTGATCTTGAAGAGAGGCATAAAAACAAGTGCATTGAGAAGTATGTGTGAGGGTTTTATTTCCTAACATCCATTATTTTTCTTCTTCTCATGAATTTCCAGCTTATGGACAATTAGACAAAGACATTTGCTTGATGAATATTAATTTTCTGCAGATACAACTTCGACTTCGACAAGGAAGAGCCGCTACCTGGCCGTTATGAGTGGGAGAAATTGATGCATTAATTTGGTTTAGGAAAAGTGTTACTAGGGGATGGAAATCCTTGTATTTCCATTGCCGTATCTTTTATGTACAAAATAAAGGGAGTAGGGTAGTGAAGGACTTGTAGACTAATGATCTGTGACATGTTAAAGGAGATCTTGCAGTGTCGTGTCGTGTCTTTTATGTACAAAACAAGGGGACTAGGGCAGTGAAGGACTTGTAGACTAATGATATGACTTATAGAACATAGAGCTTAAGAAACTCCTTTGTATAACAGATTACTATATTAGCTCAGTTTCTTCAATTAGGTTAAGTCCCCTTGTTGTCTAGAAGTTCATTAGTCGTCATCGTCGTGGTCGTCGTGGTCGTCGTCATCGTCGTCATCAGTCGTCGTCAGTTGTGTTTGTATAAGTTTCTTTGTTCATTGTTCGTAACTGTACCGTGTGGAACTCTTTCAAAGAATTAATAAAAAGACCGATTTCCTTCGTTGTAATTTTGGGCCTTCTTTTTGACTTTTTGCTTTTGAATTTCTTTTCCTATCAAATCTGGAAATCTAAAGCTCGAAGTTTGAATCCAGAATTCTAGAACTCCAAGTGCTAGGCCTATCTTAAAATGGAATTTCTAGGCCTCTCAAATTTCTAGCCTGTTCATGGATTGCTTTTTGGGTACCTCCATCCACTATTTATATATACATAATTGGCGTTCTTAGACGGTGGTAGGAGGTCACAGATTGTCAATGGCCTATCATTTTTAGCTAGAGGTTGTGCATGCACATGCACACACATATTAAACATACGTACATACATACATACATATATATATATATATATATATATATATCGCTTATACGAAATTTGTGCAATGAGTAGAGCTGTTAAATGGAACGAACAACTCGAAACCTCGATTGAACTCGATTCGATAAGACTCGAACTCGACTCGTTAATTGTGATAAACGAGCCTAGTTCGAACTCGAGATATGCTCATTTAATTAACAAGTCGAATAAGTTCGACTCCTTTGTTATCCGAATAGCTCCATTGGACTCGATAAGGAAGGGCATATATGTCATTTCACAATTCAAAATAATAAAAATTAAAAATTATAGATTTTTATTGAGGTTAATTTGCATGAACTCGCTCGAGCTCGTGCAAGCTCGGTTCGTTTGTGATAAAAGAGTCGAGCTCGAGTTATATGTCCCATTTGGCGAGCCGAATTCGAACACATTTCAAAGGTCGTCAACCTAATCGAGTGAGCTTGAGCCTGACTCGAGTCGAGTTCGACAGTCAAATACTCGGTTCGATTAACAGCACTAGCAATGAAACACAACTTAGATTTAAAATTTATAATCCAATTAAAAATCGTAAAGAACAAGGGAAAAAAACTTTGGTGGTTACGGAAACAACTCCGATCCCTCCACAAAAGCCTCCCACCTTTCTGTTTATTTTCTCGCAAATAATAATAGCTTTTAATGACTTTGACGGGGAAAAGAAAGCATATATGAAGATGGATGAATTTTGGTGTCATCTGCTAATCGGCATTAGCTCTCTGGATTGCAATGAGGGCGGATAATAGCTTTTTACGTAAATCAATTTGGCTAGCTAATCAAACCATCTGCAAAATATTTTTTTTATATCAATTTATGCCATTTTTCTCATGGTATTGGCCTATTATTAAACCATGTTATATGTTAGTGTCTATCTGCATCACAAAATTGCAATTAGAAAGGAAGAAATGTAGCAAGATATGCGCTAAAATTAGGGGAAATTAACCATCCAGAATGGTAAAATGAGTTGATAAGATTATGCTTATTTGATTAACTAGCTTAGTTGATCAAATCGTGCTTATTATCTGCCGTTTATGTTAGCATTGTCTTGACGCAAATTTCAGATATCATGACATGGACAAACTTTGGAGTTATTAAAAAAAAACAGCATTTCATCTGGGGGGGCCCTAGAAAACTTTGTTCTTTTCTACTTGACAATGAGGATTGGCATGAGAATTGCTCATCCCTCCCTGGTGCTATAGATTTTGTTGCCGTTAGAAATTAATGATAAGAGCATCCGTTACAAAATTGGTGGTGAAGTAAGGCGTAGTCTATTGTATAGGCAATAGTCTATTGGTCCCCTTATACATCATGTTGTGGGCTATGCAATAGCCACATGAATTTTCTCGCCAGCACTTTTTATCCATCAACAAATCGATGCTGGTGAAGAATTGGGAATCGACCTTTGAATTTCATTGTTATTCTTCCACAAATTTGGTTTGGCCAGTCAAATAATTTAGAAAAAATCTTTTGCATCAAATTAATTATGCCACTCGAATAAGGCGCATTCTATGTGTGTGCAAATTAATAAAAGCTATATCTATTTGTACAAATTATTTATATAAATATTGGGTTTAATTTGCAAAAGAATTTTATGAAATTAAAAACGTACAAGCGGAGCATTTTCTATAGTTAGATAAAAATTATTAATTTGAATTTCTAGTAACACAAAAAAACAAAGATAATTTTTTAAATAAAGTTGGACCTTCTTTGTTCTTTGTGGTAAGAGTAACTATGATAGTTGAAAAGGAGACAAAAAAAAAAATTAACACCATAGGAGAACTCGTAGTTTGCATATTGTAAGTCATTAAAAGCAATTAAATCACTCCATTTTCCCATTATTTTTTGGCAGACCAACTCTGACCTTCTTGACCAATTTTTTCTGTTCATTTGAACCCCTTTCTGATGAAGTAAAAACTAATTGAGCAGCCCATTATTAACTTCACATTTTCACCAAAAAAGAAGAAGAAATTTGCCCATCACCTTAAATTTTTGCAAAATAAAATAAAATAAAATAAATATCACGATTTCATTTAGAATTAACTTTTTTATGCACTGATAGTGTAGTGATTTTTTTTATACTAGCACCTTTGAATATATGTCACGTGCATATGGTTTGAATATCAAATTTAAATTTATATTATATAACATTATCTAAATCTATGAGTGCACAAAAAATTATACACTAGCAGCGTATAAAAAAAATTTACCCAATTGAGTGAAAAGACCTTTCCTCCGTTGATTTCTCTCCTGTGTTCATACACTTAAGTGTTTCCATACGTTGCAAACTTGGACCAGCACATAATAGGCTACAATAGGCCCAGAAAAATTCAAGGAATCTGTGGAAAGAACTGAGTCCATTAACGCATTTTACCACAGCCCAAAAAGAGAGAAAAAATATAAAGAACAAAGCATAGCGGAATTAGAGGTTTTTAATTCTAACGTCTTTGTTCGCTTCTCACTTATTAGATTCCAGCTCTTCCCTATTAAAAAAATTCTAGAAAAAATTGGGCACAGTGGTACAAAAAGAGGAACTCTCAAAAATTAATTGAAAAGAAAGCAAGTCTTTCAATTCAAAAGAAAAAGAAAACAACAAGAGAACATTTTACAACATGAAGGAAATAATAGATAAACTGCTTGTTACAACCGCCTAATAATATTGGCTAGCAGTAGACTATTTGATTAAAAAGGTGGGGTAATGGATAGGTTTCACAAAACAGAAAGGGAATTTATTTTTTCACCCAAAATGTCAAGCAATATCAAACTACTGTCTCAAACCACAATGCAAGCTACTAACAGTTAGTGTCTTTTATAACATGCTCATATTCTACATGTTCTTACACCTATAATGATTTATAAGGTTTTTCAAATTGATCAAAATCTTGATCAGAAATTAACGGGACAAACACAAGAGTTTTATAAATTTTGGTAGAATGTCTAAATCACAAGTATGTAAGAAGCCAGCTACAGATTAGTGTTTTTTTTTTTTTTTGAATCTCAAAGCTCAGAATTTGAACTTGACTTTGTGAAAAAAAAAAGGAGAAACTAATCAAAAATAGGCTTTTTCAAGGCTCGTCCTCGACTGTTTTAATCAGTTAAGTGAATAGAAACTTGAGTCAAGTTCCTATCCTATTCTGACCATAGTTTAGGGACTGCTCTAGCTCATACTCTAGCTTTTGTAGTCATAGTTTCTGCACTATCTATGAAAATATCAGATTTGAGTTGTGAGTTCGAGTTCTTATTAATAACAGGAGTGGAACTTAAGTGGCTGCTTTCTCCGGTGCCAGCTCTGAAACTTCATAACCACGAGAGTAGGTATGGCTTAATTACGAGTATAGTTGATTCACTGTGAGAGTAGGTTTCACATGCATAAGGAAATTATGGCATAACTAGCCAAGATAATAACATTCACCTAACCGGTAACTTCATTTGCAAGAGTAGTAAGGAATTCCATATCTCTAGGAGCTTTATAGTGCTAATTTTCATTACTTTTACGTTTATGGTAGTCTAGATAATAAAGGAGTTCGAAAAACACTGGTATTCCATGCTGTTTTCGGGTGCAGGTGAATGGAATCAGCATACCTTTCATCCAGTTCTATGTTTGCAAGAGAAGGTGTGATCGTAGGTAGCTCGAGTCTGACTCATAGTGATCATTTATCAAAGAATGACTCTGGTTATCAAATTAGTCAAAATAGTAATAGTAATAATAGAGTATGCATAAATAAAATAAAAATGGAGAAGTCATCTATTCTTCATTTTTTGAAGATAGGGTACATGATAATAGCCTTTTGCATCTTTGTATGCTCTTACAAAACTCTATTTCCTTAGACAGTCAAGTGAAATCCAATCCACATAACAATTTGATCTATGGACAGCATCGTTGTGGTAAAGGTCGTAATGCCAGAGGAATCATTATCGCAGGGCATAGCCGAACCCTTCACCCCGACATGCCGCCACATTGAACCCACAAATGCCTATTTATTCCCCAAATATTTGTACATACACACAAAAGGTTTACTTATTACTAATATAGTTTAACCTCTGTTCTCCTTTAGACCCCCTGTTTCACTCCGATAGTATTATGTACACATATAGATGAATAAGTTTCTAACTCTTTCTTCGATCTATTTCGATATATATCTTCGATATAATCAATGAATAAGATGAAAAAAGCGTTTTTTAGCTTTCTTCAGGATTTGGTCCAAACGGAATACTTGAAATTCAACAGACCTCCTCTTTTCTTATACGGATTTGGCCCAAACAGGATTTGGCCACTTTGTTATACGGTCTCCAACATTTGTTGCCTTCTTTGTCAGTGTCAGAGTTCTATTCGGCATATTTACCGAGAAGCAAATGCTGCAGCTAATGCCTTAGCTTCTTTATATCTTCATTCTGATTCATTTTTTCAATGTACTCAGGATCTCCCTTTGATTGTTCGTGGTATTCTTACTTTAGATCGTATGATATGTATTCCAGCAGCCAATCCCTAAAATGAGAAGAAACTGAAAAAGCTTGACAAGGAGTCCAGATGATTTTGCTTTATCATCTTTAGACTCTTCACTAGGCAAGTGTGCAGTAGCAGCAGGCTATGGACTAGGTTTGGTGGATGGATCAGTCTCCCC